TCCATATAAAGAAGGAAATAACCTGGTAGAAACACGGAAATATTGATTAAATTTAACTGAAATTTTATAACTCTCTAGACTGATTTTCTGCTGCTAGGCATTTTTTGCAACCATGATAAGACAGTAATATTCAAACATAACATGAGAACAGCCGTACTGGCTCATACCAAAGGTATATTTAGGCCTGAGCTAAGCATATAGGCATTTGGATCTGCTGATTTCAAGTGATTACCTCTAGTGCTAGATTGGAAGAGATAATAACTTGTGGATTACCATATATCTTCTCAAGGTGCTCATGACTTTATGCAATTCCTATCATCTTTATTTTGTTTCCCTTCTTCTATTGAGCATCACAGGCAGAGAAGTCAGTCTATTTACTTATTCTTTGTACCAAAACTCAACTCTCTCTTTGATTGCTTATGCAACCCCTCTGGGTACCTTTCCTGTTTTTTTTGGTATTCCTGTTAAGATAAGTCGGAAAGGCACAGTTTTCCAAGCACAGATGCAGCACAGATTTAAACAGTGGAATAACAATGATCTGTATTATTTCTTTTTCCTATTGTAATGATTCTTGGGGGGAAAGCTGCAATCTATTTACTTTTCGACTGCTGGTGAGCAAAGAAGTGCTGGTTCCACAGAACTGACTACTGTTAACAGCGAGATGGAAAGATCAACTCAGAATGCAGTTTATGAAGATTGGGATTATTCTTCTCACATGTGCATGAGTTCACATTTGTCTACATAATCTGAATCTTGTTTAATACTTTTTGGAAATCAAATAAGATCTCCCTCATCCACTTGCTTGTTATTTTCTTCAAAGAACTCCAATGTATTCATGACACACGGCATCCACTTACAAAATGCATGGTGACTCTTTACCACTATGTCATGTTTATTCACACCTCAGCCAATTATCTTCTTTAGATGGTATCCTATCAGTTTCCTTACAATGGTCACTAGGCTTACTGGGCAGAAGTTTCACCCGCCTTTTTAAAACACAGCACCGTGTTTCCCCTTTTGCTGATATGAGGAAATTTTTGGCTAGAAAAATACAGTCTTGTCTTGTTCAGCTATTTCTACCATGAGTTTCTTTACAATTCTGTTTCAAACCTTTAAGTAACCTCTGATCAGCATGATATTTGAATGCAACAAATCCTTTAAAAAAATAATAAAATATGACTTTCTTATTCCTGAAGAAACATTACATTTTCTTCAAAATTATAAACAGCCTATTGTCAGGCCTGACAAATTTCAGCCCTGGTCTAATGACATTTTTAAGGTCTGGTTTCTTGGGAACCCTCCAGACAGGAAACATCGTGTTTGTGCCATTAGAAACATAAGCCTTTACTTCTAGATTTGCCTTATACAAGATACTGATTTTCAAACACAGAATAGAAAAGATTTGCATTTATCCTGGGCTTTCATTGATTGTATCAGGTACTGTACATGAATTGCAAGCACTGTGAGTGTGTCGTATTTCCTGATTGGGCCTATTTTTCTAGTCTATAATTATTGTTATTTGAGCTTTTTTAATAGCATCAGTTGTACACTGTAAAGTGTACCAGTTATATGTAACTGTCCAACTGCTAAAAGTCCTGATTTTGAACCAAGACTCAAGTGTTTAGGTAGTGTGTTAACAGAATAAGAAAGGGTGCATTACCCCACAAATACTCTATCTAATTATAAGGCAGAGTGGGAACAGAAAGGGATAATGTGATGATATTCATCCATACTGAAGGCAGTAGTCTACACATACTGGCAGCTTAATTGTTGTATAATTTTTTTTATAGGCAAAGCAAAATTTTAAGAAGGAACTTAAAATTAATAACAAAGGACTGCTTTACAGATATTTTCAAGGAGTCTTCCAAGTGTGACTTGCTACATAGGAAAACTAGAGAGGTATTTATTTGAAAATGTAACAAGTAGACTCTCACGGAATGAGAAAAGACAATCTTTAAAAGATCTTCAGAGACAAAACAAGATCATGTTTAATATAACCGAAGTAGGAGGAGTGAGCTGGGAGAAGAAAAATCAGATCTGTTCAAAAAACCAGCAAAGTTGGAATACTATTTTTATGGCTTTTCAGGTAGATATGAACAAGACAAGACTGTATTTTTCTAGCCAAAAGGTAACAAAGTTGCATAATAAAACTTGATGTGACCTGAGCTTTATGTACAGATGTATACAAACTACTATCTATCTCCAATTCCAGACAGAAAGAATCTGTTAGAGACAGGAGAAGCCTGAATGTGAAAAATGAAAGGGATGTGCAAATCAGAGAGGACATCTGCCACAGAATGATCAGAGGGAGATAGAGGCGTACACAAAATGTCATAAAGCTCTGTATTAACAATGCTGAATTTGCACTAAATCCAGAAAAACACAGGTTAGAGACAGATCTAGGTTTTACCATCTGTAGTCGGTGACTCTGGATTATAGACAGTAGCTAAATTTGTATTTGCAGATACTGTTAACCCCATAGATCAGGTAACAGGGAAAGCATGATAGGGATTCAGGACAGAATGCTGTGGATGAAAACACTGAAGAGGATTATCCTGTAAAGAACATGCTGAAGGATAAGGAGAGAAGAACAGATGAAAGGAAATTGTATTACAGCATCCATCTTTTCCGTTATTTTAGCCATTCAATCAGATTATTTCACTATTTAGATCAACAACAATAATGCATCAAACAATTTTTGCACTCTTGTGGTATTTGCCCAAATACTTGATGCAGTGGAAGGACTCCACTGGGTTGAACAGGCTTTGAATCAGTCTCTGTCCTGCCCTCTCAAATCTGGCAAACAATATACTTTTGCACTATAACAGTCTCAAAAGGCAACTTGCCTAAATCAAATTAGCACATCAAACTATTATTAGCACTAATTAACTAGTAAATCAACAGTTAGTTAACTAATTAGCATATCAGTGCTCCCCAGAGTCAAGTAATTTATTATTTTAGCTTTAGCAAATAGCAAATATCCCTACCAGGAAGAGTGATGCAAGTACATGATGCCTTAGAAACATGTTTCTTATTATTTGAAAATGAGAAGATGTAATAGATCTACATTTCTAGAAACAGTCTTGTTTGAAAGACAGAAAACAAAGAGCCTGTTTTGATTATGAAGTTAATTGATTTTTGAGCCCTACAGTACTATGTGGTTCCAGTTGCATGCAATTTTCTTTAATCCAGCAGACTTGGTTTAAGCTGTGTGAATCAACTGCTCAGATTCCATTTTATTCAGAGCATGGGGATTTTTATTTGAGATAGACCAAAGTTTCAAGTGTTTCCCTAGCTGTTTTTCCTAGCTAAGAGGAGGAAAAATGGTAGTCTGGCTCTGCTCTTTCAATCTTTTCTCACAACCTGTATTATGGAATGTGGAACAGAGGGGCTGGTCTTTGGAAGCTATATTGCAAATTATAGTAGTTTTCAATAATATGCTATACTTACTTTCCTACAGTAGTAAATTTTACTTCTTATGTGCACTAAGAAATTATTTTAAAACTCTTACGTTTTCTTAAGAAGACTATACTTACATTTACACAAGCAGATATTTTCTGTACACAAAATGAGAATGTGTTTTATATGTATTTAGTTCCATAGCTCACAGATCATGTGCTTACCCAAGCGGAATAGGGTTTTTCCTAAAGCAATAAATACTTCTCTACTCCTATGAAATATTGTATTTTATACTGTTAGGCATTATCATTTTTATTTTACTAAAATATGAAAAGTAAACCAATAGAGGGGGAAACAAAGGACTAACACTGCACAAATGCAAACATGAAAACTCAGTACCCCACAGTTAAGAGAGCAAGCGGCTCCAAAGACGTTTTTCTGCTAATAAGAGTTTGAGTCATTCACCCAGCTAATGGTTGCAGTAGCTGAAGGCACTGCCCTTGACTTTTTGTTGCCATCCTTTTGCTGTAGCTCACTGCCCCTGCAGCTACGTGATGAGATCAGAAGCATGCCCAGCTCTTAGCTGCCTCACCACATACTCTAGCTCTTCAGCTCAGCCCTTCCTCCACCTTCAATTTACACCAAGAAGCCAAACTCCGCACTGAAGTGACCAGTGTGCACACACAGTTTTTCTCCTGCCAACTCTGCTGTGTGGACAGTGGTCTTCAACAAAAGAGGACTACTAATAGCTAGGATAACACTTTAACCAACTGTTTCTAGAGTTGCCAAAATGTCTGCTCACTGGTTATTCTCTTTTAACACTCTTTATTTTCATGACTGGGAAAAAAAGAGAACTTGAGCTTGCATTAGGATAAATAGAATACATTTTTTAAATCTATCGGTCTTCCTGCTTTTATTTGTGAAGACTGCCAGCTAAAATCCAGGATATCATACGGCAGAGATGCATATTTTTCTCACTCACTTAGAAACACCTACAGCATATTAGCAAGACTGACTAAAAAAGGCTTAAGGCAGCAAGCAGGTATGTGTTTTACATATTTGACTCCAGTTTTCAGGAGGGAAAAAAAAACAAAACAAAACAAAACAAAACAAAACAAAATCTTCATGTATTCTCTGCAAATAAGAGACTGTACCAGGATTTTCTTCCAAAATTTTGTCTGACTGCTTGGATAAATCAATTCTAACTAAGACTAACTAGGAGGATTTTAGGTAAGCAGAAATAATTATCTGAATTAAAGTGATTATGATTCAGTATTTAATTTTAATTTAATTTAGTTTTGCAACAAACTAACAAACTGTACAGATTATAAAAGAAATTTTCTGCTGCCTTTGAAAGAAAGCACTTCTAGCAGCAGGCAACTTCCTCGCACGTTATTTGTCTAATAAATGACCAGCATCACATTCCAGAGCATTTCTAGGTTTTTGAGAATTCATTTTCCAGTCCCACCTACGATAACCCTGTTTAACTTATGACGTACTGTCAAATTGTAGTATCAGTGAGATGACTACAAGCTAAAAATTAACCTGATTGCGGTAGAAATACATTAACTTAAATAATTCACAGCAATATGCAGACTGACCTGTCCAGTAATAGGTTAGGTGCAAATAAAAGCTTTCCTGGGTGTTCCATGGAGCGCCAGACTAAGCCAATCATCAGTATCTCTAACCAGGCACATTCCAGTAGATGGACCTGATCATGGAGTGTTAAATCCACAAATCCTGAAAGAATAAATAGGAGACAGTAAAAACATTCTAGGTTTGTAAGTGGAACAACATTATTCAGAGAATCAGATTTAAAAGTGCATTGGAGCTGGATAACAAAAAAGAAAAAGCAATAAAACAGACACTTGTACACCTGACATTTCAGGCTGAGTTTTGTCTATTATTAGGTCCACCGTGGCTCCATCCTACAGAACAGTCAGCACCTTCTAGCCCCCTGGTTGTGGCCTGACTTCACGCTTCCCCAAGAGCAGGGCAAAAGCCAGGTGAGCATCTCCATCCCCACACCTGTTGCTAGTGACCTGGGAAGCCAGGTGCATGCTGCAGAAAAGGGCAGCTGTCTGCTCCAGTGCCATGCTGCCTGGGTCATGATGGAGGGAAAATGGAAAAATGCCTCTTATAAAATGAAGTTATAGCTCTAATCAGCTAATCCCAGACCACTTTTCCTGATAGAACTTTGTTTTACAGACTTGTGAACAATTCACCGTACTGCAAGTACCATACCTGTGTGTAAGAGGGCCCAATACAACGTTTCAAATAAACTAGAAAGAAAATGTTGATCGCTGTACAGTTAGAATTCACTGATGAACCACTTGCTTATATTTCTATTCGACTATAGCACCTGGAGGAAGGAGGTGACCTCTCTTATTCTGTATTTAAGCAACACTAGAAACAATGAATGCAAAATGAAGAAGTTGCTTACAGCAATACTAAAATATGAATATGAAAGCACAATGATGAAGGTAGATATGAAAGCATAATGGCAGTGGTCATCCCTGTGTTCATTTCATGGAACAGGTTGTATTATTCTCTATTCGAGATTCTCACTTTTTATGAATGTTACTTTCAATCCAAAGATATAAGCGAAGGGGAGGTTGCCTAATACAATTTAATAGATCCTAGCACAAGTTATTCTTTAAAATTAGCATGAACTTGCTAAAATGAAATGTGTAAAAGTTCCCTTAAAACAGATCTTATTTATCTTTTACTCAGTGTTATGAGTGAAACACAGTATTGAAATTTGCTTTTTTTTTTTTTTTTCAATTGTAATTGATTCCTCTTAGTCTTCAGAATACAAGTTACAGGGTAAACTACCTTACCAGCCCAGTAAATGGCAGTGATTTTGCTTCTGTGTTGTGTCCTCACTAGAGGTATATACTGAGTCAGTTTCGAGGAATATACCTGACATACTCTTGAGTACTATATTGAGAAAAAGGAAAAAAAAAAAGCAGCACATATTTTTAAAGTTTAATGGTGTGCTATGAAATATATCTTTCAAATAACAAAGAGGAAGAGAAGGAACAAAATATGGCTCACAATAACTTAGAAAATATTGTTACGTTCTGCAAAACAGTTGTTGATATAATCATTTTGAATGAAAACATCTGAGAGAGCTACTCAGTCTATTCATAAAGAATCATTCAAAAAAAGGAAACAGCTTTGACACATCTGAAATAAAACTCATCTATCAATCACTAGGAGTAAATTTAAACAGTTGCAGTACCTGCTATTTTTATGAAAGTGGTAACTACTGGGGGGGAAGTTGTCTTTTCCTATATTTTTCCTGTATTACCAAATGTAAAAATGACTTACAGACTTCACAGACTGATGGAATGGCATTTGCCTGAGTTGCCAAACAGCCTGAAATAACAGAGCTGAAACTTAAAAGAGCAACATTCTTAACTACAAAGCACTGATTACAGCACTCAAGAATGAAATTGGCAGAAGGAAACTGCTGCCCATATATAGAGAATAATCATGGCCAGGCCCAAACTGTTGTGGTGAATGAAGTTAAATCCAGGTGGCGGCTGGTCACAAGTGGTGTTCCCCAGGGCTCAGTACCGAGGCCAGTTCTGTTTAATATCTTTATCAATGATCTGGATGAGGGGATTGAGTGCACCCTCAGTAAGTTTGCAGATGACACCAAGTTGGGTGGAAGTGTCGATCTGCTGGAGGGTAGGAAGGCCCTACAGAGGGATCTGGACAGGCTGGAGCGATGGGCCAAGGACAACTGTATGAGGTTCAACAAGGCTAAGTGTTGGGTCCTGCACTTCCGTCACAACAACCCCAGGCAACACTACAGGCTTGGGGAAGAGTGGCTGGAGAGCCACCCAGTGGAAAAGGACCTGGGGGTGTTGGCCAACAGCTGGCTGAATATGAGCCAGCAATGTGCCCAGGTGGCCAAGAAGGCCAGTAGCATCCTGGCTTGTATCAGAAACAGTATGGTCAACGGGACTAGGGAAGTGATTGTCCCCATGTACCCAGCACTGGTGAGGCCGCACCTCGAGTACTGTGTTCAGTTTTGGGCCCCTCACTACAAGAAGAACATTGAGGTGCTGGAGCATGTCCAAAGAAGGGCAACAAAGCTGGTGAAGGCTCTAGAGCACAAGTCTTATGAGGAGTGGCTGAGGGAACTGGGGTTGTTTAGCCTGGAGAAAAGGAGGCTGAGGGGAAACCTTATCACTCTCTACAACTACCTGAAAGGAGGTTGTAGCAAGGTGAGGGTCGGTCTCTTCTCCCAAGTAACAAGTGATAGGACAAGAGGAAATAGCCTTAAGTTGCGCCAGGGGAGGTTTAGATTGGATATTAGGAAAAATTTCTTCACCAAAAGGGTGGTCAAGCATTGGAACAGGCTGCTGAGGGAAGTGGTGGAGTCCCCATGCCTGGAAGTATTTAAAAGAGGTGTAGTTGTGGTGCTTAAGGACATGGTTTAGTGGTGGATTTGGCAGTGCTAGGTTAACGGTTGGACTTGATGATCTTAAAGGTCTTTTCCAACCTAAATGATTCTATGATTCTAATAAACAATAAACACCATGTTTCCTATTAAGTATTGTCTTACTACAACAACACATAACAGTATAGTGTTTTTATCTATGCTTGAAGAGTACCACAGCAACACAGGGACACAAGCCCCCATGTGGTGTCTGAAGTTTGCAATCAGTCCATTACAATTCAGTTATATTGCCATCATTTCATGTGGCTGCACACTATGCTACAGCAGATTGCTTTGATTGTTGCAGAAAAACTGCCCTTGTTACAACTGTGGCAATTCACTTTCCTGTAAAACTCTGCTCATTCTACAATATTCCCCATTCCCGCATATAAAATTTCAGATTGCACTGAGACTAAGTAATCTGCACAAAAACTAAAGAGAGAAAGTCAAAAAAGCTAATTACCTCACTAGTATTGTAGAGGAGGGATATTTTGTTAGCCTACTCTGAGAATAGAGGTATATTGCCAACAATACTAACATCTTTTAAAGTATCTGAAAGTGTATACTTTGCATAAAAAAGTCCTAAAATAACTGGCCAACAATATTATTGCTGTCTGGAATATTAACTCTGATTTCAGTGAAGCTAAGGAAGTTTCAAAAAGCTAGAATGAAAAACAAAACTCATTGTAAGTCCATAGTTTAAAACATTAAATGATCTGTCAACCTGATGTCTACTTTGTGTTCTGTAACAAAACAGCTAACACAAAGATTGATTAATGCCGGTTTAAAATATAATAATACACATCAACTGTAATTCATAAAAAAACTTATCAAATTAACTTGATGGCTCTTTAGGTGACATTATAAGTTCAGTTGATAAAAATAATAGATTTGATGAAACAGACGAGACATTTGATTTCATAACAACATACAGATTAACTGAATTAATATATTTTAAATGACACATCTCAGTATGTACTGGCAAAAGGGTAATGGACTGAACTGAAGTGTTTCTAGAGGAACGTCATACAGCTTACGTCTTTACCCTAGAAAATTTTTTAATGATGACATGGAAAAAACAAATCTTGATTCAGATGTCATGATGGCATGTGGGAAATAATCCAAAAAGCAGGTTGATAACATAAGGGATCTAAATCGCTCAATAGCTTAATCATAAAAAATATAAAGACAGAAGTTTGAAAGTGAGAACATTAGGCATATATACAAGATGGAAACAGTAGCAGCTATGAAGAGGACTTGGAAATGGTGAACAAAAATCATCCCCGTTTGAGCTTCCAGTGGGAAGCTACATCTAATAAAGTCGATTAACTTTATAAAAAGCCAGATAAACTCTTAGAGAGTAAGGAAGTTAAATTACCTCTGTGTTACCTGAGTCTGGTAACCATTCTTCAAGAAAAGTTGAACAGAATGATAGAGAAACGTCAAAATGAATAAAGCATTGAAAAACATGCCCTCTAGTGAAGAATAAGAGGAATTCAGTTACTCCTTGTGAAGCTAAATAGGCTAAAGGGCTTAAAGGACTACAATGGATAAATATCTAAAGAAAAAGAGAACAACATTAAAAAAGGTAATGGCATAATATACAGAAGCCCATGCTGGAAGCTATACCTGCTCCAAGCCAGACTACATATGAGGGGCCATTGTTAACAACAAAAACATTTATTATCTAAGCAACACACTAAGGTTCTATGAATTTGCTATCATTAGAAATGTTAATCAAGATTTAATTATTATTTTTAAGAGATACTTTTGTTCAAGCAAGCTAATTTAGAATAATGTTACAAAAGGTTAAATTAAATGAATAAATCATTAGTCACTTCATCACTCAGAGCATGCTGCACTTTAATGCCCCTAAAATTGTCTAGATGTGCACTGCATTCTCAAATATCAGTGTTCTTTTAATGCTGGCAAGTTTTGAAAGAAAAAGTTTTTTTCATTTCTAAATTTTTTGTTATTGTCCTTTAAGGAAAAAGAAAGACCTTCACTTCACTGTTGATAAATTAATTAACTACAGCTTATGGATATAACCTGTACCTGACTCCATACACCAGACTGACCAATTGCATGACTTTATGAGACATGTCAAAATCCTTGCGTGGCCAAAACCCACAAGAGCCAGACTGCCATTAAGCCATTCATATATCATGTGCTTGGCAGGAGAAAGACACTTACAGAATAAAAGCCATGGCTGGACCATTCCTTTTTCATATACAGATAAATTAACAGTATTTTTGAGTGATTGCCACACAGAACACAGTAATTGTTC